ACATATGGAGGTGGTCAACATAGGGAATTAGGCCTACTGTACTGATACCTACATATGGTGCACGTCTGGTCTGTGAAAATTAGATCAACTTAAGGAAGTGGTCAGTGTAGGAAGGTGGTCAACTATGGAGGTTCTACTGTATTTGATATCAGGGAACAAAGGACAATGATTCTGGTTGTTTTTTTTTTTTTTGAGTCTATGTTGCCCTCAGTAGAGTACCGTGGTATCCCAGCTCACAGTAACCTCAAACTCTTGGGCTTAAGCAATTCTCTTCCCTCAGCCTCCAAAGTAGCTGGGACTACAGGCGCCCACCACAACGCCCAGCTATTTTGTTGTTGTTGTAGTTGTTATTGTCGTATGGCAGGCCTGGGCCGAGTTCAAACCTGCCAGTCCCCATGTATGTGGCTGGCACCCTAGCCACTGGGCTATAGGCGCTGAGCCATGACAATGATTCTTAAGGAAAAAAACAGATGAAGTGAGCCTTATTTAGTGTTCCAGGTTATTTTGTTGAAAGAGATTCCTAGCTTCAGCATAGTAAAGGAGAACCCAGGCAGAGTCCTGCAGATTCTCTGAGTTGAGAAGGAACTGAGAGAAATACCAACATGATCCAAGTCCAAAGGAAAGTGTATTGGAGAGGAGAGAATTATCTAGAAAGAGAACTCTGGATATGTATGGAGGGTCCCTGTCAAATATTCAGCAGAGGCATGTGAGGAAACTATCCAAGGCTGGGAAAGAATCTTCTGAAAGGATAGAAGGAACAGTGCTCACTAATGGCCAGGAATAGTGGTTGCTCTTACCAGCCAGATTGGGAAAATTTATACTTCTCAGGGCATTGGATAGAGTGCTCAAGAAGGTTTTTTCTCGATAGAGGGAGTAAATAGCCCTAGCTCTGTCTTAGACCTGCCTAATAAATCATAAGACCAAGACTGGAAAGCATCAAATTATTGCCGAATAACTTAAATACACCCCAGAATAAAGCTCAAGAATATTTATAAGAATAAAAAACATTTAGTTAGCAACTATCAAAATAAAATTTATTATGTTTGGCAAATAAGCAAATATTAGCAGAGATGCAAAGAAGTAGGAAAACATAACCTAGCAGAAAAATTGTTCCATCAAAACTGATCCAGAGGCTCAGCACTTGTAGCACAGCAGTTATGGCATCAGCCACATACACCAAGGG